GGAATTACACCCCTTTGAAGTTCTAATTCTCTGTGAGCCGATCTAAAGTGATCACCAATGGGTGTGTCTCGGGTCTTGTTCTTGGCGCTTAAGACATGCTCATTAAAACGTAGCCTAATAGGCCGTTTTGTCTCGCCCACATATGTTACTTCTTCTCCACCTTTCTGGCAGACGCTACATGTGATTCTATACACTACACCTGCGGTTAGGCACTTCCCTTTCAATCCCGACTCACAAGTATTGCAAACTCGCGACCCTGCTGGGCACTTGGGATGGGAGAGGGCAGAACGTGTGAGGCGGCTTTTCAATGTGTTCTTGCTTTGCCAGGCTACTCGCAAGTTTAAATCAGTTTTTCTCACGATGGCATTGACTTTGGCACAGACGGTCTCGTCGATATATGGTAGAGTCAGGTACCCGTCTAGCTGCTGTACTTGCTGCTTTTTGTGGTGCCGGTGCTCTCCATTTGTCGTCGGATGTGTCTCTGCTCGGGTAGCCTCTCGTTGCAGCCTCCGCACCAACTGTTTCCTGTAGCCGTTTTCTTCGAATAGTTGCTGTATCTTCTGGCAGGAGCGAGCACGTGCCGCTGCATCTGACGACAGTCTGATGGCGCGTCGAAACTCGGCTCGTATCACTGCCTGCTTGGTCTTCATGGGATGTGATGATGTTTGATGGATGATGATCCCGGAGTGATTTGGCTTTATATATAGCTCTGTTTGGTACTTGGAATTTGAGTTCACAGTGATGAGAGTGTCCAGAAACGGTACGTTTCCAGACTTACTGCTATCTTCCAGAGTGAACTTGATTCTCGGGTGGATGGAGTTGAGGTACTCGAGGAACTTGTTCAGCTCGTCCTGTCCGTGAGTCCAGACTCCAATGGAGTCATCAATATACCTCGAGTAGAACTCTGGTTTCAGCACTGCATTGTCCAGTGCACGCGTTCCCCCAGGTGCTATAGTATTTAGCATCGATGTCGTTAATCTCTATGGCAGCATCCCTCTAGACGAAGCCGTGTCAGCAGTTGCCGATATGATAGACGAACACCGAGCCGAAATCGACCTGTGTGGACTAGAACCAGATGACGTCACCCGCCTTCTCACCCACTGCCTCGAAAACAATGTATTCGAATTCGACAACGAGTTCTACAGACAGCGAGTCGGCATCGCCATGGGCAACAAGGTGGCACCCCCAGTAGCCATCATATTCATGCACAAATTCGAAACGCGTGCACTGGACAATGCAGTGCTGAAACCAGAGTTCTACTCGAGGTATATTGATGACTCCATTGGAGTCTGGACTCACGGACAGGACGAGCTGAACAAGTTCCTCGAGTACCTCAACTCCATCCACCCGAGAATCAAGTTCACTCTGGAAGATAGCAGTAAGTCTGGAAACGTACCGTTTCTGGACACTCTCATCACTGTGAACTCAAATTCCAAGTACCAAACAGAGCTATATATAAAGCCAAATCACTCCGGGATCATCATCCATCAAACATCATCACATCCCATGAAGACCAAGCAGGCAGTGATACGAGCCGAGTTTCGACGCGCCATCAGACTGTCGTCAGATGCAGCGGCACGTGCTCGCTCCTGCCAGAAGATACAGCAACTATTCGAAGAAAACGGCTACAGGAAACAGTTGGTGCGGAGGCTGCAACGAGAGGCTACCCGAGCAGAGACACATCCGACGACAAATGGAGAGCACCGGCACCACAAAAAGCAGCAAGTACAGCAGCTAGACGGGTACCTGACTCTACCATATATCGACGAGACCGTCTGTGCCAAAGTCAATGCCATCGTGAGAAAAACTGATTTAAACTTGCGAGTAGCCTGGCAAAGCAAGAACACATTGAAAAGCCGCCTCACACGTTCTGCCCTCTCCCATCCCAAGTGCCCAGCAGGGTCGCGAGTTTGCAATACTTGTGAGTCGGGATTGAAAGGGAAGTGCCTAACCGCAGGTGTAGTGTATAGAATCACATGTAGCGTCTGCCAGAAAGGTGGAGAAGAAGTAACATATGTGGGCGAGACAAAACGGCCTATTAGGCTACGTTTTAATGAGCATGTCTTAAGCGCCAAGAACAAGACCCGAGACACACCCATTGGTGATCACTTTAGATCGGCTCACAGAGAATTAGAACTTCAAAGGGGTGTAATTCCTCTAACGGTGGAAATCATTCAAAAAACCGGCGACCATCCACACCGAAAGATAAGTGAGTCGCTACAAATCCGAAAGCTAAAGCCGCAACTGAATCGAAATGTATCATCGTGGTACATTATGTAGTTATCGGGTTTTATGTGCATGTACATGTACATGAGTGTACATGAGTGAACGTTGAAAAGTAGATGAATGAATCGAATACGAAAACGAATTTAAAGTTAATTTTTGACCTATTAGGTTGTCTATGATCGTTTTTATTGGGCCCATCTAACATATTCCTTAGAACTGTAGGTATATTGTGCTTTTTTATCACGCGAAGTTGTACAGAAACTGAAAAAACTGGCGAAACTGTAACTGCATTGGTGTCTGTGTGTTTTTTCGTGTCTGTGTTTAAACTGATATGTGATCAAGGCCCGTGGCCGAAAATTTGTATCAAGCTAAATACATCAAAAACATAAATAATTTGTAAGGAGGTCATTAAAAAGGAATTTACCAATAGTCCTACTCATTTGTACTTACAATTGGTCTGCAATCTTTGCCTTTTTAGAAGACAAGTTGGAGATTATTGCGCCGAAATGAGTGGCTCTGCAAGCCAATCTGTCACTCCCAAACCATCTGCTGCTGGTTCGGGCATTGAGCTAGATGCCTCTCACTCATACCAGATCAGACCCAAATTCGAGAACAAGTTTCGGCCTCAGGCTGTGAAGGAACAGATCAGGATCATACTGAATGAAGAATTGGGCGGAAGAACGTACAATGACAAGGAAGCCCAGGTTTGGATCAAGAACATATCAGAAACTCTGAGAACAAGAATGAAGGAGATGAACTTTGAGAGGTACAAAATAGTTGTGCAAACTGTGATTGGGGAACAGCTTGGAGAAGGAGTGAAGATGGGTATGAGGTGCCTTTGGGACTCTGACACTGACACATATGCGTCAGACGTGTTCATCAATGACTCAATGTTCTGTGTGGCAGCCGTGTATGGAGTGTACTTCTACTGAACAAAGGATACCTCCCTGCTGGCAACTCCAATCCTGGTTTATGAACTGCAAGTCTACATTTCTTATGTGTTCATACTTCATCTGTTGATAGTGTTATGGCCAGCTGCATCACTTGAAAGTTGAATTGCCAGTCTCAGAAAATAGCAGCACAGGATCCCTCACCTTCTGTCTTAACTCTTAAAGACAGTCAGTTCACAAGGTTTGATTTGGTTATAAAGCCTGATTTGTGTTACAATTGAACCTCATCACTTCTGTTCAAGAAATGGAGTGGAGATTTGTAGTTGACTCACTTGGTTCCAGACCATTCTTGTGATGTTATCATTATTTTGTGTGTTGTCATTCATTCAAGTGTAACTCCTGTGTGATATTGCAATGTGAATACAGTTTGAATATTTTGCACCATAATATAATGTGTTTGACCTTTTTGACTGCACTGTATGAATGTTTGTTTGCTTGAATCAGTTGAGTCATCATCATCATCATTATCATCATCATCATTTTTATTGGCACAATCTCTTCATTCACATTGAGTTCATTCATTCACATGAGTAGCCTGGAGGTCCACAGTCCACACAACTAATGCCACTTCACTTGATACTTGACAGGATGTCATTTTAGCCCCTGCCACACATTTCAACAGGGCTGCTGATACCAACTGTCAATTCAGCCATCTTAGCTTTCCTAGCTCTCTCATAGTTATGCCTTGGTTATGCCCATTATGTACTCTCTCATTTTGTTAAGTTGATTGGTTGAATGTCACATATATCATGTGCTGAAGGAAAAACACACATTGCTTTCAGAGATGCATAGATGATTTCATCTGCTCCTTACATCTTTTATGGAACTTTGGCCATGTTAATCTAAGATTAGGAATGCAACACTTGATCAATGTTTTATCACCAATCAACCCCTCCCATGACATGTCTCAAAGCACAGCCAAGTGACTTGGAGGTGTCAGGTGTGTGTGTGTAGGATGACTGACTGAAATGCACGATGGCACTCGACCGCCGCGAGAGGGCGAGAGGAGGATAGAAATAATCCTCCAATAAGGGCAATGGACCTGGGGTCCAGGCCCCAGGGGACCTGGGATGGTTCAGCCTTAGGGTGTGTCGAAAAAGGAGTTTAAAGTGTGTTGCAATGATAGCAGCTTGCACGATCGGCCCGTTCTCCATGTTAGTGATCGACCAATCTTGGATCGTTTTCAAGAGCCTCGAGTAGCTATTCAGCGCCCGACCCAAGAACCATAGGCGATTTCGTCAGCTAAAAAGTGCGGCTAAAGCTGTCTCACATCTGTCATTACTCATTCTACAGTCTACACAACATCAACCTGAAGTTTGGCTTGCACGTAGCCTGCAAACGCGATATTCCCCTGCAATATCGATCACTAGTTACTACGGCAATCACTAGATGGCAGTAAATTCGAACGCCTGAATCATGCTGTGCCGCATGGCTTAGTAGTTACTCTTTCTCCCAACAGATGGCTTTCCCACAATGCCCCTAACTAATGCTGTGCCGCGTGAAATCCGATGGGGCCGATCAAGGCCATATATATTATATAGTGGCCCGATGGTGAAACTCGGAGAATAACTATGAACGAGTTTGACAACCGTAAAATCATACTACTGTATCATTTAAATCAATCTTTGGGGCACAAAGATTGAAAGATTGACGGTGAAGTTAGTTACTTGGGGTTCATGGGTCGTCGACTTCCAGTCATTCAACATCACTCGCATTGTCTGTTCGCCTTTTTATAATTGCAGCATTGTGAGGCGAAACACAGTTCCCAGACGTAACGATACAATAATAGTTCGTCATCGAATAATAAGCAATAAAGACCCAGGGTTGCCATCACATTGTATTATCGGTCACGTTCATGTTTTTCTCTTCCAAAATCGTCACTCGCCCATTTCGCATCCCCTCGCTTTCGGGAGACGCACAAAACACTGTAATAAAACACCGTCAAAGTGCAGCAGAAAATTCACATCATCCTAAAAATAGACAGACATGCATTAATTATGCTTTTATATGTCCCAACTGCTTTTACTTGAACTTAGCTGCTGGCGACAAGAAACGAGCGTTACATTCGCACAAATCACGACTGCCTGCGATGCAGAGAACACCCGGTCTTATCGAAACTCTCAGTCTTGCACATGAGATGCAATGACGTCATTCAATAGAGATCAAGTGACGTCATCAGTCTGGAAATCGGCGTGCTTCTATCAATGAACCCCTAAGCGCCTAACATCTCACGAGCGACAGCTTTAGCCGTTCTGGCCACCTCCATATCGCCTGTCGGCGCACTCAGCAGTCAGCAACACTGACAGAGACCTGCTGACCTGTGGTGATGATGTGATCACATTCACAGTATGTGACGAGGGCTGATGGTATTGGATGGTATGACGAAACTAGTGACACCTAGCGAGGAAACGGACAAACAGCCACGCTTCGTTGTAAAGTTTCGTCTACAAAAGTACCCCCCGAACAGTGCAAACACTCTAACGTCCAACTTGCACGCATTCTGTTCAATTCGCTTCACAACTCACTTTCCACACACTCGTTCTTTTCATAACTCGCGTCCTCACGTCGGCTTCGCTCCTTTATCTAGAAGCGGGACTCCGGACCATCAGGATGGTCGCAGAAGTTTACCAGGGATTTTCGCACTTTTACAGCAATTGCAAAGAGCGTAAGTATCTTGTGGGGTGATGGTCACACAAGTTGATGACTGAGGAGGTGTACAATGGCGAAACGGCGCGACGGTGGAGAGAATCCGAAGTCCGAACTCTAGTAGAATTCCTCGTCTTCGCCGCCCTTGTTTGATGCCTGGTTCTTCACCTGAAAGTACAAACGGAACAGTCAGATTGGGAAATATTTCAAACAAAGGAGGCGGCAATTCATGCTCACATAATTCACCACAATGTTAGCCGGATAAATCCAGATTACAGGCTAGGAGAGGCGAGGATGTCGTTCGATGTCTCCTCGGACGAAGAAGTTTCTATGCAGAATATTCTACTCGTATTTTGCGCTCGGTGAAGCACACAGTCGGACGACGAGACCGGCCATTTTGTGCGCCACTTACACAATGTGCGTCAGTTTCGAAAAAGGTCCAAGTTTACGTTAAAATAGAGACCACGCACAAATGTCAACAATTTCGGCAAATAGCTGCTGCGCCGCTTTCGAAATACGCGCCATCACTGCCACTCTGCCACCGTAGTACGCTCAAAAGATTCTACGCGGATGACGAAGATTCTACGTGACGTCACGTAGAATCTTTGCCGTCCGTGCGACATCGAATGGCATTTTGGGCCCGGACGACATAGAATCTTCGTCGTCCGAAAGACATCGAACGCGGGGTAGGTGTTTTAGGCGAACACCAATAATTTCCCTCCCACCGTTGAGGTTTCGAAAACAGCGATTAAATTAAATAATTGAAGGACGTATAATTGATATAAAAATTAAAGCTTGATTTTGCACTGTCCTTCGTCCTAATTTGTGCTAGCATCGCATCGGTCCATCACTTGTGAAGCAGAGCAGCGTCAGAGCTCGCCGCGAAAAGTCTTGACCCCGACGTGATTTGAACACGCAACCTTCTGATCTGGAGTCAGACGCGCTACCGTTGCGCCACGGAGTCGATGAAGCAAGAGCGCTCCACGCCACGTATTTGAACGGTACTGTTACTTTACAAGCCGAAATTGCAGCAGAGAACCCAAGCCAGTATCACGGACAGTGACACTTGCACCATAGTCGTCTTCCACTAGCTTTCCTCCCTGTCCACATCTGACCTGGTCCTGGCTGTTGTACATGTCGGCAATCTGCTGCGCCGAGGTGGCCTGTTCCGCCGTCTTGTCCTCCCGCACGCGCAGGAAGCGAGGGAACCGCAGAGAGATGCCCTTCTCGGGGTCGACGATACCCACCGCCGCCTTGTGCACCGGCGATATCGATAGATCGGCACACTTGATCTCCCATACCTGCGGAAAGATCAGGTCAGGTCAGGTCAAATCAGAGGCGAGACCCGCTTCAGGTTAGATCAGGGTTGGGTTAAGTTAGCCATGACATGCATTATGTCATGTCAGGACAAGGGGTAAGTCCCAGCCCCAAGGTCAGCAAAGGGTCAAGTAAATCAAAAACAAAAAAATACGTGAAATAAAGGCAAGCGAGAATTCATGTAGCATAGAACGACCGAATCGCTAGAACGCAACCGTTATCTCGTTTGAGTCGCCACATAAAGAAGAGACATGACCGTCTCATAATTGTAGCATGACTTCTCCTATATTAACCAAAGGAGGGTATTCCTAAGGTATTTAACCACCGCCCACAAAATAAATAAATAAAAGTAAATAAAAATGACAGGACAGCTGCTTCAAGCCAGCAGTCCGGCAGAGTAAGACGACGTTTTTCTGCTTTTATCACAATGACAATACAAACGCGCTGCATTATTTTTGCAGCATTTATATGTTCACGTCTGGAATCCAAGAACTCGTATCAGTCTTATGCACAGCTCTTCCCTAAAGTTTAGACCAATCAGAACCCTCCGTCAGCCGTCTCGACCAATCAGAGCCTTCCCCCATCCGTCTCGACCAATCAGAACCCTCCCTCAGCCGTCTTCACCAATCAGAACCCTCCCTCAGCCGTCTACACCAATCAGAGCCTTCCCCCATCCGTCTCGACCAATCAGAGCCCTCCCTCAGCCGCCTCGAGCAATCAGAAGCTGAGCTCAGCGCACCTGGACGGCGTCGAACCAGTGATCGGGCTCGATGGAGTGCCGATAATAGGACTTTGGCGCGTCGATGATGTGCTCTTTAAAGAAGGCAGAGTGCTTCTGCAGGTCCTCTTCGGAGAAACCCGTGCCGATCTGTGCGGGAGAGAGAGAGAGAGAGAGAGAGAGAGAGAGAGAGAGAGAGAGAGAGAGAGAGAGAGAGAGAGAGAGAGAGAGAGAGAGAGAGAGAGAGAGAGATTTGTAAGCATTCTTCGCAGTAGCAGACGATCACCAGTCACCACCATATGTATTCTATCACTAAATTCACGTTTATTGAGTTCCAGTTCCGACAAAAGCTGTCTTACGCTTCGAAAGTCGATGGCCAGGCAACCGAAATAATTAGTTCATCAGCTCCGCTCTTAACAGCAACGTTTCCAAAGCTCCATTTAGTTCCCGAGCATCCACTTCACCAAACTCTCCCATCCCATAACCCTCACTCTTCCTCCCTTCCCCTCCCTTCGCTCGTAGTTCATAGCGGAGGGAGGGGAAGATTTTACCCTTCCCTATCACCATCTACCTCAAGTCTTCCCTATCGCCCTCTAGTCTCTAGTAAAGTAATTTCCCCTCCCCGCGGCATCCCACCTTGCAGATGCTCTGGAACTCCTCATTCTCCGGGTCGTAACAGCCGAGGAGGAACCCGCCGTAGACGCCCGTCCTCTTGCCCTTTCCGAGGAAACCTCCGAGTACCACCACGTCTGAGGGAGGGAGGGAGACCACGTTGAGATGAAGTAACCACAGTGAGATGAAGTAATCGAGTTTTACGGCATCTGGGCCCCATTACATTGGCGTATTTCCATATGTGCGGCATTTGGTAATATTCATCACACAGGTGTAGGTGAAATGCATACCCGACTTAATAAGAATGCTAAGTAACAGGTTTATAGTAGACCGAAACGCGTAAAAAACAATTTGCATAACCTGAGCATAACGTGTGCGTTGAAATGCGTCGCAAAAATATAAATGCAAGGGTGCACTCATACTGCATTCAGCAAATAATTACTTTCGGAATTTGCACACCGTGGTTACATTTTCCACCTACGCTCAACAAGGACCGCCCAAAATATCTTACCGATAGTATCTCCCACTCCATCCAGATAATCCTTCTTCAGCTTGAGCCAGTTGCGGGAGCGTTTGGCGATCTCATATGTGGCGTCCCGGTCTAGAGTTTTCACCATGAGACCTTCGCAGTTTCCTGATGAAGAGACGGGGTTATATGCAATTTAATGGAGCACGAGCTGTACACGGTTAGAAGTCGGAAACTACGTGAATAAGAACGTTAACCTCACGAGTCACGACGGAGGCCTTGGAAATGTCATTTAGAATCCTGAAACAAATTGGAATGCTTTGAAATCATGCTTTCAATTGGCACCAAAAGCCTTCCACATATGGCGTGGCGATTACGGCTTGGTACAACGCATCAATTATTCTGATACACAATTATGCATAGCAACTATGTTAGCTGTATCGTTCATAAATACTGTTGCTTATTCCGTAAATGCCTGTTAACGTAACCAATACGATGACTGTAGTTTTTTGGAAAAAGCTCCCACGGAGGCACACCACTGATTTGTTCGCGCCCGCGCAGATGTTTCACCTTTGACAGACTCGTCGAGGAATTCCTGAATATCCTCCACATTTGTCGAGTCCATACTCTTGGCGAAGGAAAACTCTCCCTCCACCTCCTGAGTGTGGAGAAAATGTCGTCAGAAGAGGAAGACGGGAGGGGGGGGGATATGATGACACCAGCAGCTGCGAGAGTGCGAAAGTACACACAGAAGGCTCTGGTGATAATGATGACTCGATTTGCAGAGGACGGCGAAAGAAAGGCGAGAGCGCTGAAGATGGCGAGTGACACCACACACACACACAACTCAGAAACAAAGCATACAAATAAACATGAATCAAGACAAGAGTGATTCGTATCTGCAATACAAGTGATATTCTTCGTATGCTTTTTATTGGAATATTTCGACAAATAATTGTGTTGAGACGGGAAAATGAATCAGATAAACTACCGACACTCGGAGTAATGAGGACATTATGAGTCGCCTGTCTGCTTAAAATCAATCGTTTGGATTCAATGAGCTAAGATGTTAAATGATCTATCATCGTTACATAAATGTACGCCAGGTCCAAGTTCCTCTCCAACAGAGTGATCAATGCATGGAACCGGCTCCCTCTGAAGTGGTACTCGCAACCAGCAAAAACAGATTAAAAACCGGCTAGGCAAATTTTATGACCAAACAGACGCCGTCATCTCTTTTCCATCTTGCATAGACACTTCTGGAAGTGGGTACTAAATAGACCTGTGTCTAATCCAACCCACTATCTTAAACGTAAACCTAAACCATATGGCCCACAGAAGTCTAAAAATCGATCATCTGAAACGAATCATGGCACAAACAAGACAAACAACCGAACGCGATAGTATCTCACCTTGAAGGAGGCCCGGAGTTTTTCTCGTCTCTTCTCGAAGGTCTGCGTGACCAGAGACTCCCCGTTGAGGAACAGGAGGTCGAAGCCGAACACGCAGACCTGCACCTTGATCTCTGAGGCACCCGCGTCCTGCCCGGGCAGAGCGGAAAAGTGTGGTCACACAGGTCAACGACAGTGGAAGAAAGACAAACGAGAGGGAAAACAGCCAGTAACAGCGAGGACGTGGGGCTTTTGGAAGACAAGTGCAGACGGTGACTGCCGGATTTATTCCTGGATTACCGTAGTATAACCATGTAAATAAAGAATAAAGACCACACTTCGAATCAAAACTTAGGTTATACATATTTAGAGTATTACAATCTACAAAAGGTTATAACGTTTCGGCTAACGCATAATCTATTTTTGACACAACTCGAAGAAAATAAAAGGATGTACATGACATCAGCCACTTTGAAGCTAGTTTCACGGTGCATTGCTACTTGCCATCATGACCTGCCCACTTCTCTGGGTCAACCACTGACCTTTCGCTTACGAGTACTGAGCACCTGGAACGGCAAAATCTGTTTCTTCTCCGTGTCCCAGGCGACCGCCTCAGAGTCCAAAATACACGAGCTGGCGGAAGGGACGAAACCAACACGAGATGATAACGATAAGTGTTTTAGATCACACGGATTTCACGCTCCATCGGCGCCCATGGATGGATGAAATAGAGACGTTAAGCAAATAAAACTCCAATAACTGGCGCTTATTTTCTCAAAAAGATCTATATATTCAAAAAATCTCAACACCGGTTTCTTAACCTCAACAATACACGGAGGAAAAAATGGGTTGACGAACAGAAAGGCATTCAGGCATGCATAGTTATTATACCGAGGACGGACAAGACGAGCCGCGACAAAAAAGAAAATCAACCAAATCAACGAACAAACGAGTAAATAAAAAAGAACAAGCGCGCGCACCTGACGTCGTCTCGGAGACAGGCACGGAACCTTGCGATGATGTCCGGGTATTTGGTGGTGTTGTCCTCCTGGTTACGACTGTAGACGTGGATGGAGCCGTCCTCCCGCAGGTGAATCTGAGCCCTCTCTCCGTCGTATTTGTACTCACAGGTGAACTGGGCGCCCTCGAAACGGGACAGCACCTCCGACACGCCTGTGATTGGAGATGGAGTTAACTAAGTAGCAATCATGGCAGGGTAGCTTAGCTGGTGTGAAATCGATTCAAACAGCGAGCATGTAAAAGGGCATGAGATCAAAGCGGAAAAAGACAACAGTTTTAACCCATTTACGCCCTTCGTTGCGTTTTCGCAACACAAGCAAGCGTCGACGTGATCAAATCTTGAGAAGTGTATAATAACGTCTCACCGATGAGACAAGTTTCAGCGCGTTTAGCATGGATCTGCGCATGATGCTACGCAGTTACAAGTCTGTGCGGCCGGTAACTTACCGTCCAGAGCTCCCAGAGGGAAGTCAAAGGTCCCGTTAGTGATGACGTCACGAAAACCAAAATAAGTAGATTAAGTGATTAATTATATCGTAATGAATAATGTGTGAACATATTCTGCAGAGTCCCTACAATAGCTAGAATATACATTTTATTAACAAATTATGCTGCAAATAGGGTTTGTGACTATTTTCAAATATGACTACAGTCGTGTTGCGGTAACGCAACGTTGGGCACATCGGAAAGACAGGGGTGTTGCGAAAACGCAACGAGGGGCAAATTGGCAGGGCAGCGGAAGTATAGGAACATCAAATAGACTTCACTTGAGATACGGTGTGGGTTCTTTCCTTCTCTCCCCAATCTTCCTCCCTCTCTTCCACGCTCCCCCAACTCTCTCTCTTCTTCCCTCTCTCTCTCTCTCTCTCTCTCTCTCTCTCTCTCTCTCTCTCTCTCTCTCTCTCTCTCTCTCTCTCTCTCTCTCTCTCTCTCTCTCTCTCTCTCTCTCTCTCTCTCTCTCTCTCTCTCTCTCTCTCTCTCTCTCTCTCTTTCTCGTTTGTAGTCGTGAGGGATGTGTAGGTATGTAAAGTGCAAGGTGCATTTGCACGTGAATGTTGCGACACGTTTCACATTAACTCACTTAAACAGCTATCAAACACGCATTTCTTTTTCTCGCAGATTATCGGGCTATTCGAGCAATGGGTTTTCGAGCATCTGAAAATCGCATGGTAGGAAAAGGACCTGCATCAAACGCTCGGCGATGCTAACGGAGCTGAGAGATAGCGAGGTACTTTGAAAATTGGATCTACTTTGTACTAAATAATGGGTACGTAGTCTGGTATCAGACGACAGATAGGCATTGTCATTCTCTGGATGCAATCCGCTGGCCCTTACGTTAGAAAAGATAACTCCCAGAGGCGGCAAATGTGGGATATGCCCCCTCGGGGGGGGGGGGGGCAACAGACCCCTTCGGCAGGAGTGATGAGGGCGTCTGGAAAATAATAGTTTATTTTTAGAATTCATGGTTTGCACGGATTGATAAGGTGGTTGATGTGACGCATTGCTTGTTTGTTTACTGAGGGTAGGCCTTTTGTCTAATCAGACCATTTTAGAGCTAGAAGCATTATTGGAATTAGGGAAAACATTGGTCTGAGCGGGCATGGTGAATCGTCGAGGCTGAGCCCATCCATCCAGGCTGCACCCATGAACCAGCCCCCCCCCCCCTTCCCAAGCACTTTCTGTATCCGGCTACAGACCTGTGCTCCTATGGGAGCTGCTCGAATGCGATATACCTAGTTGCCCGCCCAGCTCGAAACAAAGGTTGAGGCATGGAGAAGGATTCTACTACCCTAAAGATGGAAAGGACGGATTGACGAAACACTTGGAAAGTGTGAACTGCGTCGAATCACCAGTCTGCCCTGGCATTGTCTCGAGAAAGAGGTTACAAGTGTGAAGGTCGCTGAGAGTGGGGCAATGAAAATTTTGGATTAGGTGTAAAAGTGATAAAATGGGTCCTGGGAGACACTTTAAGCCGAGTTGTTATGACGCTCTACGCCTTACGCAGGTAATTTGTGAAAGCCGGATAGGTTCATTTTTTGATAAGAGTGTGCACGACTACCCTGCATTTGAATTTGTCTTTAAACTAGGAGGGTAGTTAACAATGGTATTGCGGATAGGCGCTTAGGCGAGGCACTGGTTGACTCCCAATCCTCGGTTAAATTGTTTTCAGTTTGGGGTTCTCATATGAGAGGGTAATGGGCTAATGGCTCTGTCTAACTTCCAAAAAGAAAGCACCGCCCAGGGTATGTACGTGCCGACCACTAGGTACTTTAAATGGACAATTGTTGTTGATAATGACCGTTTGTTGCCATCTCCCCGTTCGCGAACCCTTAAGTTATGCTCCCTCATTGAGGCTCTTAGGCGGGTAATAAAGCATGAGGGATGTGGGCTCCGCATTCTCAAGCAATATTTTTCAACGGTTGGTGAAATACCTATATGTTAAAACAAACTAGCATATACGGCGGTTTAGTGTACTTTATGTCCGTCTGATGTGCCCGTCGTTGCGTTTTCGCAACGCTGATGGCGCCCGGTGTGCCCTTCGTTGCGATTTCGCAACGCACGTTTTTTACGTTTTTCTCGAAAAATTTTTTGCTGCCGGCAAAAATTTTTTTCGATTCCATGCAAGGCCCTGGTAGAAGCGTAACATATCTTGATTTCATCGATTTTCATGATGGTCAATATTCCTGGGCATAAATGGGTTAAGTCAAGCGAATGGCAGTATTATTGTATATGAAATAAAAAATAAAATAATTTATTACTTGGACAGCTAGACGATTATTAAAGCGAAGTAAGCAGCACCTGATACTGAAAGGCCATTTATTACGGAGTTGCAGCATCATTCCTATTTCCTCATGGTGTGCTCATGTTGTAGATTAGCCATCAACATCGGTGTTCGTCATCACTGACCTTTGGTGGGATGTGCCAACATCGGTTTGAGCGGCACGCCGGCCCTGATTTTGCAGTGGTCGGGCAGTTTGTCCAGGCCGTGTTCCAATAGAACGGGCACGATCTCGTCGTAGGTGGGGCACTCACTGCGGGCCAGAAGAGGTCATCAGAAACCCATCCGGTCATTAAGGTCATCAAAGGAGGCCAGCCCAAGTCAAACACATTATCGGGGGGGGGGGGGGCAGTTGTCAATAAATTAACAAATATAACAGGTCGTCAGAAGCCCACAAGCAATGACAATGATGATTGAGAGTTGATGACGCTGCATGAACAAAGCAAATGGCGATCAGCATAAAGGTCAGTAAAGGTCACCAAACTAAGAGCGCCCAAAGGCCACCAATCATGTAAACATTTAAGTCTTGATCACCACCTATAACTACGTTACGGAACTTTCCACGCACTCTACCCTCTTACTCAACATCACAGCTCGACTCTCGTATCCTCCCCCGTCTGCCCGTCCTAAGATACCCTATCAACACCCTCCATATTCCTTGCCTCCCATTCCACACCCCTACCTCCCCATTCCTCCCAAATTATTTCATACTTACCAGTAGACGGTTTTGAGCACCAATGCCGCCTCATCCACAGCGGCCTTGGTTTTCTCCGCTGACATTTCTCGTGTTGCGTCCAGTATCTGGGCCGGTCGCTCCTGGTTTGGTGGGGTCATCACACACGCCTGCGCTAAAGCCTTGGGGAGGGAATTTGGGAAAAGTTGGATCTATCATATGACAGCCAACTTAGAATTATCATATGACAGTTACGATGAGCTGGTTATCACACACGCCAGGGCTAGGGCCGGGCAAATGGAGTCTGAGCAGAAATTTAGAGCTATTACAGAAGACACGACGCTAAAATAGTCATTTTTTACACACCTGGACTAGGCTTGGAGGAGCGAAAAATGAGAAGAGTTCGAGATATAACATGATAGGTACAAAGCGTATGGGTGACGAAGAGCATCATTATGAGCGGCACCTTATGAAAGAGTCAAGTTGAGAGCATTATATCGTAGATACAGACGCTAAAGGCAGTCAATTTGAGTTAGAGCTGTAACAAGAGATTAAAGATTAACGCACCGCACGGGGAAACAAGGGTCGAGGAGAGTTCCTAATCGCCATACGCGGGTGACGAGAAACGAAGGATAATTGTAGGACCTTTAGGTCATATTCATAACCTTTAGGTCATATTCATGACCTAAAGGTCATGAATATGATGAGTCAGTATTAGCACAAGTCTCGGCCGGCCGCGCCTCAGGGAGCGAGAGTCGCGTTCAACCAGCCATCACATGAGTTACGAGTCCAAAGCATCCGAAAGCAACTGTGATATGTGACTAAATTACTGTCTACCGTCGACTGATCTGGGCTCCAGGACGCCTGAAGTGCAGCAGTCATCGCTACCCCTTTTCCTAATCTCTACCGTTTACCAGTTGCCATGGTTACCTGCAGAGCCTGTTTGGTTCGGTTCGGTAATTGCACTGACTGTTTTTCTACGTCACCTTATTAACCACCCCGTCTACTGGTTGTCATGGTTACCTGCAGAGCCGACTGTTCGGCCAGCCCGATGCGCAGCATATCAACCACCCCATCTACTGGTTGCCATGGTTACCTGCAGAGCCGACTGTTCGGCCAGCCCGATGCGTAGCTTTCCGCCCAATGAGCGGACGACGAAGCGCGTCTCGGCGTGCCGACAGGCCACCATCAGACCCTGCATCTTTTCCACTTTTTTGGTCATCGACTGCGGGCAAGAACACGAAAGAAGTATCAGAGGGCGCTCCCAGTATTGTGGATATGGTAGTGATTGCGTGTGATTATATTCTGGCCGGAGTGTGCTTTGGCTAGAAGTAAAAATCTGAGTCGAATGACGCGACGCACAGTGAAGTTAACATTAACTTGAAACGCAGCTCTTCCCTCGGCAAAGGCATGGCGTTAAACAAGAACGTTACCTAACCATTCCCTCAGAGTATTATTGAGATTGTGGACGAGCTCTTCAAGATACATTGGCATCTATGCATACATTTTAACAGGAACGCCGCATTTTCATCCTCAACCCTACAAACTACCTCTAACACACAATCCTTTCACCCTTCCAAAATTCAATCACCTAGACTAATACCCAACTGAGCCCTCCCTCAATCATTACCCCACTAGGCACTTACCGCCTGCCCGCTCATCATAGCGATATCCTTGAGCGTCTTGAACACCCCGGCCACTGTCAGAGGCGCCGGCCGGAACATCATCCTCTGTCGGCTCTTACTCGATTCCGCCACCAAACCGAGGTCTCCCTTTTCGGCGGCTTCTGCGCGCACTTTGTCCACTGTGCGGCCGGTGGCCTGCGCCACGGCCTTTGTGATGGCTCCCTCGCCGATCCCGAGCTCGATGCCTGGCGAATGGGGCGGGACGAGAGTGAGAGGGGGATAGAGAGATAAGGAAATAACTGAAAGTCAGCAAGGTAAAGCGTTCCAAGACATATGGACCAACTGCAATACCGACGATATTCCAGCGATTCTACAATAGGTCGCGACGATTCGACCGATCCCAGTCAGGTCATATCGCGGTGTGTGGCAGGCGGGCGCTTCAAACACCTACCGTACCATTCTACCGATTCCGATAGGTATGCCATGATAGACAGTCGCTTCGTATAACCCCAGCTGTCCACCACACCAATCTATCGCTTTCGGTGGCCATACTACGATAGAGAGTCGGTTCCAGTTATGCCGCAGCTGTCTCCTACACCTTGCCTACACTATTCTGCCGATTTCGGTTACCGAAACATCCGGTGGCCCTGCCATGATAGGCGAGGTCGGTTACCAGCTGCGTAGTATACACGAATATTAAGTGCTCTATACCACTAGACTACACTATAATTCTACTCAGTTCGAATTGTCCTCACCGTGATAAGCAAGAGCTTCGTATAACCCCATCTGTCCGCTATACCATTCTACCAATTCCGGTGTCCGTACCGTGGTAAGCTGGCGCCAGCCGGTTCAAGCAGAGGTAGATTGACGGTAGAATGTCCGCCGGGCTCAGAGCAATCACCGATCGGAAGAAGTTGCAGAGGATGTCGACCATCTTCAGCCGGGCACTCGTGGCCTCCACTAGCTCGAAGGTGCGGGCCAGAGCCAGGTACGGTACCCTATGGTGGTGGGGAGAGGGGAGAGTCACGGGGAGAGAGAGAGAGAGAGAGAGAGAGAGAGAGAGAGAGAGAGAGAGAGAGAGAGAGAGAGGGAGGGAGGGAGGGAGAGAGAGAGAGAGAGAGAGAGAGAGAGAGAGAGAGAGAGAGAGAGAGAGAGAGAGAGAGAGCCGGGAGAGTCAGCTGGGTGAGAAGAGGGCAGCTGTTGGGCGGGAGCGAACTCCGAAGTCGTTCAGGGGATTTGGAGGGTAAGATGAAAGCTGGTGACGGGAGACAGCTGGGATGGAAGAAGATAATGGAAGACAGAATAGTATGCCGAATGCCGATAAAACTGTTAAAATCTGTAAATGTGGTTTCATTGAAAGCAGCACATAAGTCATGACAATACGCAAAATTATTTGAGATCTCAAAAATATACGAGGAAAATGCACCACATTACATTTCGAATACATTAATTACGAAGCAAGCATGAAGGTCCCATGCTCTTGCCAATATCTCACTTTTGACCGTCCTTCCACGTGGCATCGTTGACCGGGTGGTACTTCTTCTTAGACGGATCGTACTCGTTTCCGTCTGTCTTGGACTGGTCGGCCCCACCAGGGGAGGTGGTCCTCTGCAGTCCGAAGATGCCGGTCATTGGTCGCGGCTTCTTCGCCGGTTCTGGGGAAAGGGGACGGTTAGTAGAAAACCCGGCTACATGGCTGCTCTACTGTAGCAGTTGGCGAAGCAGAAACAGCACCAGAAAGTCCGACTGCTGTGAAGCGTATTGCAAAGTTATCCGGACACTATCGCGTTCTGCCCTGAAGGAAAACGAATCTTTTCAGAAAGTATATAACGTTACTTTCCCCACGATAATGGAATGATTCGTAGAAACTTACATCGCCATACGAATACACCGCAATTTTTCCATCTAAAGATACCTCTTCACATTTGATGGAAGTCTACTGAAAGTAGAAGAGAAAACAACCAGAGGTATAGCTCACCTGGGGCTTCCTCTTTAGGCGATTTCTTGACGTCACATTCCTCATCCGCCTCACCCTCCTTCAGCTCTTCCTTCTCATCTATCTTTTTTTCTTCCTTCATCTCCACATTCTCCTCATGCATCGGCTCTTGCTTCACAGTGTCCGACTTTCTCCCCTTTTTCGCTTTCCCTCCGGCTGTCCCATCACTCTTTCTTTTCACTCCCTTCCCCTCTGCCTTCGCCCGGGCCCCCGTCGACGACTTAGCCTCTCCATTTGACTTCTTCTTTCCGACTTCCTTATCTGGCGAGGATTCTTCCTTTCCTGACTCATTCGCCTCTGCGTCACCGTTGGTTGCCGCTTCCTTTGGCGACTCCCCGTCTTCTGACGCGTCCTTTTCAGCCGGCTCTTCTTTGACGTTGCTGTCCTTCCCGTTTTCTACTGACGAGCGTTCTGGACTAGAGGCAGACCCGTTTGTTGATGTTGGGCTTGTCTTCATCTTCTGCAGCAGGTCCTTCTGCTTGGCTGCCGTGGCGCCGCCGCCACCAACGGCCTTCCTCGCTGTAAACGATAACGGTGTCGTAAGAATTACACGCAAGGCATGCAACTGTAGTGTTAAACTGCATTATAAAATTGACTTTCTTTGAACTGGCAATCCGATTATCTTTAAGAGCATTGAAGTCCAAGGAATGAATTACATACTGACATAGGCAGAGCGTGCGCGATTGGGAAAAAAAATGTGCAAACCATTTTTTACAATCCGATCAAAAAATTCTAGAATACTGTCGTCAGAATAGGTAATTTATAAGCCAAAGATAATAAGTCTGGGATGACAAATACGGCCTTCCACTGCGCTTTAACCGCTGCACTATAACTCTCTCTTTATATTCTTTATATGTATTAACTTTGTCATTAGTTCTGCAACTTATTTTTGCCAGTATTCCGTAACTCATCAAAGATTACGCATAGCACGGGAGGTGGGTTCGATTCCCACATCTGATATCAACTATGAATCAGAAATGGTTTGCCCGTGCAGCGTTCCCTTCTTCACGTTCATCCCTTCTCTAATCATTGCCTTAACCCTCGCACTTTATGGTGGTCGGATGGACTCCTCGGTTTTTGCAAATAACACGCGTAAAAAGCGGCCGATCGCCACAAAACTTTCAGGTACCCTTCAGTTACTCAATTTTACATCTACGCATACACCTGAAAATGTCATGATCTGACCAAGATTTTTCGAGATATATCTGACCCAAATCCCTTTGATCTGTGCTCTGTTTCTCGAGACCATGTCAGGCCACAATGATTCGGCGTATGACAGCGCACATCACCCGTGCGGTTCCAGACTTAGGCGGGCTGTAAACGTTCCATCATGTGAAATGATGCTATACCATGCATTATGGTGGGTGTCCCGGCCACATGAAGGTCAGATAAAAGGTCACTGACCTAAAGTGACTTTGGTTCACTTTGTTGAGTCTCACATGCTTCTAGGGCATTTTTTTGAAATGTCAGTCAAGACAGCCCATATTCAGCCCGGATTCAGCCCGGATTCAGTCCAGATTCGGGACATCTCAAATCGAGCTGAAACTTGCACACAATGTAGGCCTTGACATGCCCAATCCACAGTCTGAGTCATTCGGTGGCACTCCCAACCGTTTGACCTACAGAGGTCAGCAAAGGTCACGTGGCCCAAATTTGCACAGCAGATTGTGGCCCACCCAGTAAAGCTAGAGCGCTAAAAAGGCACCAGACGACTCGTAGGCATCTAATCTTACTTTCCCACTAGCCATTTGACCTCCCAAGGTCATGTGTTCAGTGTTCACCTAATGTCATTCGCGGGCTATGTCGAAAATACACTTGCACAGCAGTTCTGGAGTATGGGTAACGACAGAATTTCAAATCAAACCATACCATCGGGTAGCCCATGAGACGTAGTAGCTTTTCCTCAAAACCGCTTCTCGATATGAGACCCCGTTTGACCTGGGCAGGTCAAATGGTACGAATCTCCGACACCCCCTAGGTCGCAGCCCGGATTCAGCCCAGATTCGGGACACCTAAGATCGAGCTGAAACTTGCACACAATGTAAGCCTTGTAGGCGAATGTAGGCAATGTAGGCCGCGGCTCGGCCACCGAAGGCGTTCTTGATGGAGGCGCCGGGGCTCTAGCAGCGTGGCTGGCGGGAAGGAGCACACGATCCGTGTCCCTGCAGGCCGACTGTGCTATAGCTTCCGAGGTGAGATGGTCGCCCTTCAAGCCGCACTCTCCTACCTTTTAGGGACTCCATTGCACGCGAAAGACCCATCGTCGCCTACCCCGACTCGCAGTCCGCCCTCGCCACCCTCCGGGGAGGCCCGGCCGCCCAGCACTCCCCGCTGGGAGTAGACAGCCGGAGGGCCCTCCGAGGGCGGGCGGCGGAGGCCGGCGGGCTCACCCGTAGTGGGTACCGTACTACCGTCCCACTGCCGCCTAGAAGGTACCGAGCGGGCCGACACCATCGCCATGGATGATATAACACTGGATTGGTGTCTCGTGGAAATTAACATTGGGATCCGCGACATTGGGATCAGGCCTGCCATCTAGCGAGAGAATTATCGTAAGTTAGGAGCAAGCCGAGTGAACGCCATCTCTCAGCATTATGACACACGTGGGTGTGGTGTGTTAGTTGGCCTGAAGTGCATATTCCCACGAGTTGGAGGTAATCTTACTGGACCTGAGACGACAAAAAACGTCTTAAATGCTTGAAAGCCAAAAACGTCAAGCAGCCTTTAGGTAATAACGAAAATAAAATGCGTAAGACGGTGTGTATTGAAACGCCCAGTCCCATCGGCTTGTACGACCTTTTATATGGTCATTTACTCACAATGGTACAGCAGTACAATGGTCCTTCTTCTCCGAATTTTTCGCCCGATTTTCTTCATCTTAGTTAATGTTACGGCACGTGTCACTTGCCAAATTAGGGGTGTCGAAATTGTTCCACATAAAGTAACCCCGCAATGGCTGGGCCAATTACAGTAAAACTTCGTCAATAGTTAGGCACCCAGTGGCCAATGCATTTCCATGTGTCACTATGGGGGTGCTACTGCACGTGCGCACGTGCGGGGTGCCGCTTCCATATCTAAAGAACGGCTGGGCGGATAACACTCAAGCTTGGTACACAAATGTCACATCGATGCTCGCACTGCATTGATCAGTGCTTACATTGGTGCAGAGCTGTTAGGAAAACGATGAAATGAGATGCGTGGTGTTTATGCCTTTCTTTTCCAGCAGCTGATTGATTCGCAACAGGAGATCCTTGTTTGCGAAGGCTTCGTCTCCCTCGTCCATCCCTTGTTTAAAATAACATTAACAATGTACGAAGAATATCACACATCAAAGTTGTTTTAGGCGGCCAGGGCTGCGGAGTTGTAGTCAGAGCCAGCGGTTCTGTTCCGACTCGGAGTCGGTTGATTTTTAAAAGCTGTAGTCGGAGTATGAGTCGAACGTCACCGAAAAGTCATCGACTCCACAGACTTACCAGGGCTGCAGAGTCAGAGTCGGAGTCTGTGTGAATTGACAGTTCTGCCCGGAGGAGTCGGAGTCGATATTTGGATACCGGAATCGGAGTTGGAGCCAAAGTCACTGAAATTTCATCGACTACGCACCACCGGTTGGGTCCTTTTCATAGAGCGTCTTGAATGACATATTGAGCGGCAATGACGTTAGCAATTCCGTTTAAGTTATTCATTAGACTTATAGATAGTTCTTACATTCGTTTTGTTCTTTGATCGGGACAATTTGTTTGATTTAGGCCAAGTAAAGACTCGTGTGAAAAATAGCGAAAACGACACGTGCTGGCGAAGTCTCCAATAACTCCCTGTTTCACGATTTAATGAGGAAATAACATGGAACTGCTTATCTTATTACTGCCCCTGCACATAAATCTATTAATTTCTTCGCTTTTACTGACATATAAAGACATAACCTTTTGAAAAATTGCACAACAAGCCTGCTACTACACCACAGTCCCGTGTATCACAATGCTAATCAGCGGCGTTCACTCGGCTTGCTCCTAACTTACGACAATTCTCCCGCTAGATGGCAGGCCTGAGCTCAATGTCGCCAAAAACTGCGAAGACACCAATCCATTATTATCTCATCCATGCCATCGCTAACAAAGCGAGTAACCAATGTCTTCATGCATCTGATTTGCTAATATCATTCTGCTCTAAGATTGACATGTTTGCACCAATTAATCCCCTTTCGCCTAAATACCGGTTGCCACCAAGCTACTTGGCTACTTGGCCTACGCATGTACACGCACATCACTACTTGTCGCAGCTCGCGAGTAGCCGCATCTCGCAAAAAACGAAAAAAGACATTCTTCTTCACAGATCTACATTGTAGTACATACCAGTTTTTCTCAACGGGGTCTTCCCTGCCGACGATGCAGCTGGAGATGCAGATTTGGAGGCTGGAGATGCAGATTTGGAGGCTGGAGATGCAGATTTGGAGGCTGGAGATGCAGACTCTGAACGTGCTTGTTTTCGTGGAGAGGTTCTTGTTGGAGCTGGACTGTCGCCATTTTGAGCAGGCGAGCTGGTGGACGGAAAACATCACGGCTGTTAGTATCCGTATCCGTGCTGCGCGTGCTTCATGACTGCATAGATCGCTTGCTTTTGTGAGGTTCTAGGTTTATCAACCTACACTTACGTGGGAAAATAAAAAAGCGACGATAGCAAACACAAAGCAAAGCAACAACGTAGTCAGACACCAAGGCAACCTCTTCAATTCCCAGACACTAGTTCCAGGAAATTATCAGTGAATGTATTTTGACATTTGAAAACTATTTTTACAACCCATAACAAGTGCCCCAAAACACCCCCTACAGTGGCAAGTCACCTGACAGCAAGTAAATACCAAAGTAATCAGTCTAAAAAAAAACTTTCTTCCTCGTCCCCCTGTCGCCACTGTCTGGTGTCGCCTCACCTGCCGCCTTCGTCCTCAGAGTCGCTCTCTATAACCGGCCGGCGTTTCCGTATCTGTTTCACTGGCGAGTCTCCGTCGGGTTCGTCGGAGAGGTTTCCGTTTGTTGGCTCCTTCCTACGCACATCACAGACTGTCAGACACCTGGCCAGTGCCATACGAGGCTGCAGTACCGATTTTTGTCGATAGATGGCAGTAGAGAAGCTTGGCTGAATAAAACTTGAAAAACTTCTCAGAAACATTCTAGCAGCCATTATGCCAGGATTTTATGATCCTGGATAACTATCTCATCTTGCAAGAAAATAATATTGATCTCATCACTTACTTCTCAGGTGTTTTAGGGGCACTCTTTTCCTCTGGTTCAGCCTTCTTCACCTTCGGGGCAAAGAAAGACCTGCAAAAATACACAATACTTTAGCTAATCCACGACCGTTAGTAATTACACCAACATCATTTGAGACAACATGAAAAATTATATTAACCATCAAATGGGACATCGTGTCTAGCCTTTGCGCATATCGTGTACATCTTGTAAAAAGATAACACTTGACACGCCAAAAACCCTGAACAGGCCTACAAGCTCATGTTTGTCATATAAAGTTTCAAGCCCACTCAGTTTCTCCTTCCAAAATGCCCAGGGTCAAAATAACGTACGTGATCGATCGTTGTGCCATGCTTCCTTACGAGTTGGCCTTCATACTGAAAAATAAACGGGTCTAAGGTCAACAAGGTAGCATGTGAAACATAAAGGCAACACTATAATCACAAACAAATTAGCTCACGTCCATGCACAAATTAGAGAACAGTGGATTAGGAAATAAAGCTGATTTTGCATTACTTTGAGAGTGAACTCACTGACAAGTTACAACACACAGTGAACACAGGGCGGTAGGTTTACTTTCAGTTGTCGACTTTCTGTTAGCTTCCTTGCGATGAAATTTCAAACGAGATTTCGTCGGTACGGGCCGCTTCTCCTGGTGCGGATATGGTGTGGTGCGGTGCGGATTTAGTGTACCGGTGCGCAGTGGGCTCGGTGACAGACCAAACGAGATAGATCGGAAAAATCTGAGCTTCGTCAGTAAATTTGGTGAGCTCTGAGTGTGCGGTAGTCCGCGGTCGATCAGACTATTTCAATGCGGTGGTCCCATCAGTCATGTGGGTCGTCCCCAACTTTGTACTGTTACAGCACAAAACGCACCACTCCCTTCTGCAAGGCTTTGGCGGCAAAAAGAGAGAGATGTGCATGGCTGAAGTGGCATGGGCCACGGCCGAATAGGGGGATTGGAGAAAGCGTGGCTGATGGCCAATGGGAGGGTTAGAAAATCACATGTTAATTATTTATCTGCCATGTTCGACTCATTTACATAATAGGTTACGTCAAAGGAATCACAGGGTGTCAAGCCCCAGCTCCACTACGCAATTTGATGTGTGTGGTTAGTATTTCTAATTCCATTGCCATACAACTGAGAGGGCAGATTTGTGGCTCATTTGATCAGTGAAAGGTTAGACAGGTATTTTGGGCTTAGTGCCAATTTCTATGCACTCAGCCGACTGGTGCGGATTTTCAGGCTGTATTTTAAGCATTGGAGCAGATATTGAACTTAGACCACTGGCGTCTGGTCAGTGCATCTTGTTGACCTGCTAGCCAAACTTTACAGTATAGTTAAATGGAAAACCTTCCTGTGATGTCTGCTCTTATGCCAAAAGAAGAAAGTCAATAATTTATTTCAAGGTAGGTACTAGGTACTTGATTCTGATTCTCTTTCTTGGAACTAGCCAAGTAAGCTCACGCTGAGCATATCATTGGAACATTGAATTTCCAAATATCCACATTCTCCTTCTTGTGTGGTTGGCTCCATCCAGTGGATGAAATGCTTAGCCTTTTATCAGTTAAACACTTTAACATGGCTGAGGTTGGGTCCACCCAGGGGGCGTCGAAGTCTAGTTCCTACCAACCTGGCACTCCCATGCCTACGTCACCACGAGGACGCCCGAGGGCATTTACATGTTGAAGATAGGGAAATTGCCATAGTTTAGAGCCGCCTGAAGGACAACCTTGAGATAGATGGTAATGTAAATGTGTGCTAATATGATCATCAACATGTTATTTATCCAAATCCAGGGCCAATTAATCGATAACCTGTCACGTTTTCCAGTGGTGATGCGCTAACGTTCGTGGTTCTTGCAGCCAATAAGGGTGTTTCATAGTGCGATTCAGGCGCATTATCGACTTTAATGCCATAAACCGCCACGGAACGTACGATTTGCAGCTCCCTGGCGTGATAGCTGCCAGTAGGGCTCCGGAGTCGGAGTCATGAAGTCGGTCGGAGTTGACAGTTCTGACCTGAGTCGTCGAGTCGGAGTCAGAGTAGATTTTAAAAGCCTGGAGTCTGAGTCAGTCACCGAAACTCGATCCCCTCCGCAGACCTTTCAGGGTTCCGTAGTCGGAGTTGTAGTCGGTCGGAGTCGACAGTTCTGACCAGAGTCAGTGTCAGAGTCGATTTTGAAAGCCAGAGTCGGAGTCAGAGTCACCAAAAAACCATTGCCTCCGCAGACCTGCTAGGGCTGTGGAGTCGGAGTCAGTCAGAGCCGACATTTGAAATCAAAGTCAGAGTTGATTTTAGAAAGTCTGAGTCAGAGTCGGAGTCATCAAGAAACCCATCGACGATCCGCAGTACCATGCAGTAAGGGCGCTGCCGATCGATGCCCCTGAATTGCCTATGAATTAAATGAATAGATGACAATTTATTAGGTAGGTACCTTCTATCATTCATCCCCTGCCACTTGGAGGACTTACTTTCAGTAGAAAAAGACGCATTATTTTGTTTGTTTATTTATTGACAAATATCTTTTGAGCAGTAAGGGATACAGACACAAAACACAATGATAGCACCTCGCTGGTGCAAATAATTGCTAGATAGATGTTAAGATGTGTTGCCATCGAAGAATCTACCGATTTTCCTGGCGGCTCTGGTTTTCAATTAACTAGTGGTCTTGTAAGATCTCTTGATTGCTCACCGTCTGGCGTCTTCCAAGGTTTTCTGAAAGCTAATCAAACGTTACCATGACTGCTTTTTGATTGCATGGCGCTTGCTGGTTCTGCTTAATTGGTGGTTCTCGCGTCTGATCCTGTTGCTTCATGTTCCATCACATTACATTAAATTTCTAATGGAACAGACACTTCTACCTTTTATTTCACACTCAGTCGACTTGCTTTTACCCCTGTGGCCTGCTCGCCCTTTTATTTCCACGCTGGAATCTATCAATTATTGAAGAAGCCTCGGATAAAAAAGCAAGAAAAGTATGTCAAGTTAAATAATTGAGACGGTCCTAGAAAACCAGAAAAAAAAATAAAAAAGCCTGTCCATCTCAGTTCCCTCACTTCATAACAAAAACCAGGCAGCAAAACATGCGAAAGAGTCCTTAGCAACGCCCTAGCAACGCATTTGTCTGAAGTGCGCAATATGTGTCACATCTGGAAAATTTAGTAGCTACTTGATTATTCAACTAGAGTTGGACTATATCAGCTAGGCTTTTATATAAAAAATAAGTGTTTGCTTATCGAATTTATAGCAACTGGTTGCTTAACTTCAAAGTAATAATTTATTACAGAAAAAGCTTGTTTGCGACATATTTGTAAAGAAACAACGGAAATAGCTTTGACTCGTGCGTTATTCTAGTACATTTTTGGTAGAAAACTTCGTCCAACCTTATGTTTTAGGGCCTTGGGTCCACCTGGGTCCACCAAAGAAACTAAAATGAAACCATCACAAAAAATTACATGTAACATCAATACCGCGAGTCGATACCCAGCCCAAAGCCGTTTATAAGACCCACAGTAATCACGTGTATAAATAATTAGACCCAGCCCCCCTACCTACCAATGGTTTAAATAGCCTGCTACCAATCAATGAAGACTGAAGAGGGGCGCGCGGCGCGCCAAAATCGTGAAGGTTGCTACCAAATGTAGATTCAGGTGTTGAAGGGAAATCATTCGAAAAGAATTCAAAAGAAAGTGCTAGTTTTTCTGCTTTTCACATTTACCAAATCTGCTATGTAATTTTCCCCAAAATATTATTTTTTCTTCAATAATTGTCAATTTTGTTAGCAAATTTGTAATTTTATGACTTAAATTGCATTAAGTCAAGCGAGACAAAATTTCAAATCTTTTGCTACAAAAGTTTTCCCCTACATCTGGATACGCTTTTCCTCTACAGCATTCTCTACATTACCAGCGCATTAATTACAAAATACAAAAACAATTTATCGGGCGCGTTATGTATTTTTTTTTTTAAATTTCAATTTGTTGTGTGATTTATATGTGCAATAAATGAATGATAGTACCAGTAGTGTTTTTATATACCTTGTATAGTACTGACCAGGGTACGTAACCGCGTATTTACAAATTGCAACCGAGCTCCGCCGTGGGGTAAGGTGGGCAGGGGTTTTCGCACTACGGCTGCGGTTGAACTACCGTCTGTGGTAGAAACTTCAGGACGATGGCGCGTTTCATACGAAATCTGGCGCAATGTTTGTTTGCTTCTGAACTTGTACTGTTATTGCTGTGAATTCTTGAAGTGGGAGTGTTTCAATAACAATTTGTGATTATTTGAGTTTCTTTATATAAACATAGAATAGTATTATGAAACATTGTGTGGAAACTGCAAATACTGATATGATCAATTACTTAGTTTGGGAATTGATACACATTTTGTAGAGATTTGTCTGGCAAATGGTGTAACAAACCTCAAGCCTATCATGATCTGAAGCTGTTGTAACAAATCAAAATTGCTTTGATGTTACATAGTACCTTGTTGGAAAGACTGGAGCATGGTTCAAGATGATGTGTAAAAATTCAAGATTTGTGCGAAAGCTTGTGACTGAAGATCGAAAACAGTTTTGTATGATGGCTCAATCAAACGTGGAAAATGGAAATGGACGACAAAAGTAGAGTTTCAACGTTCCGGCATGTGAGAATAACTTCAGAACTTCATAGTTCTTGTAGTATTGCATTCTCCTTATGTACATTTCCAGGTTTTGTTAGGGTATTTCAATTTCAATGTGTCAGTTGAGATATAGATGGATTGCGGACAAAATTTAGAATCATTGCATGGTAGATAGGTACTTGTTCAGTAAAAAGGTATGTGATGAATGCCATGAGAATGTTTTTTATGATTCAGTATACAGGGTGGACCAAAAAGGATGGAAACATTTTAAACTCGTATAAAACATGCAATATTGCATGCAGGTGACTGAAAATGATACCAAACGAGAGTACATTTTGTGGAAATTCATAATGACATCATGCTCAGCTGCTTTCTCTCGTTTTCAGTCTCTCACAGTAGATGTTCGAGGAGGCCACCTTTGCGAGACATGCACAGATCGGCCCGCCTGGCGGCTGACGCGATAGCCCGACGACACATGTCCTCTGGTATGACTCGTACAGCCTTGACGATCGCTTTCTTCAGGCCACAGAAGCTTGCTGGACCTTCTTTGTAGACCTGACCCTTGAGATGACGCTACAGGAAAAAATCCATAGGGGTCAAGTCAAGTGAGCAGACGGGCCAGTTCCGACTGGCACTGCGGGATATCAGCCGGTCACCAGAGTGGTTCTCGATCCACTTGACCATTGTTTTGCTATGTGAGGAGATGCACCGCCGTGCTGGAGCCACATGAGGTCCAAGATACTGCCATACGTCGCTTGATCTCACTTCAAGAACTTCTTAAGCGTCGCTTGGTAGGTCAGCCACGTCGCTCCCACCCTCGAACCGAAGTGGAATTGGCCTGTCTGCTCAACCGACCTGACCCTATGGATTTTTTTCCTGTAGGGTCATCTCAAGGGTCACCGGTCAGGTCTATAAAGAAGGTTCTGTAAGCTTTAGTGACCTGAAGAGAGCGATCACCAAGGCTGTGCGAGTCATACCAGAGGACATGTGTCGTCGGGCTATCGCGTCAGCCGGCAGGCGGGCCGATCTGTGCATGTCTCGCAAAGGTGGGCTCCTCGAACATCTACTGTGAGAGACTGAAAACGAGAGAAAGCAGCTGAACATGATGTCATTATGAATTTCCACAAAATGTACTCTCGTTTGGTATCATTTTCAGTCACCTGCATGCAATATTGCATGTTTTATACGAGTTTAAAATGTTTCCATCCTTTTTGGTCCACCCTGTATGGTCGTTGCTCAGCTGTACCTACAAAAATGCAAGCTTACTAGCAACTAGTTTCTGAATCAAATCGAAAGTATATTTTGCCATGAATGTAAATATGTACCTGCAAAGTATGTCAATAAATTTGTGTGATGTTGGCCAGAGAGTTTTATCATCTGGGCATTTATGTCGCTTCTTACATTAGGAGTTAAGCATAGTAATTACGGATGAACTTTGTGCCAATATGTTCAATGCGCAATGTATGTAGCATGTCTACGACCCTCACTGATCCTGCTATAGCTATAGGCATTTGGCACCAGCTTGACCAAGGGCATGAACTTCACAGTTGCACAACCTTTTGTCATGTACCACCAGTCACTTTTTTACTTAAGGTGCACATAGCACTGCAGTGCACACAACAATGTGCAGAGGGCCTACACAAAAAACAACATGATTAGTGTGCACTATGCACAGCATTGTACCCTGATTATTTGAATATTTTGATCACTCAACAGTCAGCAGTCAGGAGATAATTATTGAATATCACATTTATTATACATCACTTGTCAAACAAGAGCATGATGACACACATTTTGACAGGCAATCATGGTAGTATTCCAATAAGTTGGACAGTCACCTCCCTGGGCGTCATTTTTCCAGGAAGGTACCTCTGCAGGTGTTGTGATTGGCTAGGTTGAATTGGGTTAAGTTAGGCGAAGTAAGGTGGTTAGGACCAGGTCAGACCGTAAGGCCTGGTCAGGTTGATTTTAATCTTTCATTCTAATTTGACATAGATACCCATTACCTATGTTTTTGCTCAAGCCTGAATTTCATTAGGTAATGAGTTAATTTTGCTTTGTTTTTATCTGTCTTGTTTTGTGTTTTTGTCCCTTATATTTTGCCCCATAGGCAAGGGTGGAGCTTTTCCAGGGAAGGTGGTGGAGCATGATTGGAGGCGCTCAACCAGACGGCATAGGAGGGCACGGTTTCTGAACGCGCACTGATGCCTGATTCAAGCCACGCTGTCTTCATGCGGGGCGGCGCGCTACTTAAAAGTCCCTAAAAGAACGGGAAGTGATGCCGATAGAACCTTCAATCATTCTGGGCTAACGCTTATGACTTGGAAAAAGTCCGAAAACCTGTCGGCTCTTGTTCAGCAGGAGGTGTATGAAGGGCCACCCGCCATAAGCACTGCTCAACCGCAGGCACAGGTTTAGACGGTGTTGGTCCGTATCAAAGCCAGTGTGGTGGAGAATCCATTGGCTGAAATGCTCCAGAACATTCATCACTGTGTTTTTATGAAAGGTGGCTACAAGCTCAGTTAAAAGAAAAAGTACCAGATTGTTTTGCTTTTTAATTATGCAGCGGGAAGAAAGGTGTCCGGATAATTTCGTTACACCCCCTGTAATGTTCAAATGGTTGCTAAATTCGAAATCAGCTCCAAAAACTAGCCTAGTAACATGTAAAACTCGAAAAAGGAATCGAGGTCATCAAAGGTCATTGAGCTGACCTGACCTTCAGGTGACCTTGACACACACCCTAATGCATGGGACCAGCATCATATCACATGTTTCAACGCTTGAAACCACGTGAAAACTGCAACCGCGCGGCTACTGCGAGCCGACATACGCCGAATCGCGATTCGGGCCAAACATGGTCTCGAAAAATAGGTCACATGTCAAAGGTCAATTGGGTCAGGGTCATGAAATTTTCAGGGTAGGTGTAAAATTGATAAAATCGGGGGCATTGAAAGTTTCGTCGCGATCGGACGGTTTTTACGCGAGTTACTCACGAAAAACCGATGAAGCGCACCCAAAAGGCAGAAATATGCACATGCGATATCCTATACTGCGAAAAAAGGTGCATCATTTTTTAACGTCGCCGACAAATTGTAATTACCCTAAGCTCAGGCAGATGTATGGTAGAAAATCCCCCAAGTGAAATACACTACGGCGGAAATAAAATACCCTACGGCGGAGCTCGGTTGCAATTTGTAAATACGCTACGTAACCGGACAAATCTTCGTATGGCATTTCTTCGTCGCGCAATATTTCGTCCGCATTTCTTCGTCCGCAAATCTTCGTCGGCGCATTTATTCGTGTCGCATTACTTCGTCTCGCATTTCTTCGTAGGTGCAAAAATTCGTAGCGCATTTCTTCGTATCCGCATTTCTTCGTCGGCGCATTTCTTCGTCAAGCATTTTTTCGTCCACGCATTTCTTCGTCTACGCAAATCTTCGTCCGCATTTCTTCGTCCACGCAAATCTTCGTCTGCGCAAATCTTCGTCCGCAAATCTTCGTCCCCGCAAATCTTCGTCCGCAAATCTTCGTCCGCATTTTTTCGTCCACGCATTTCTTCGTCTACGCAAATCTTCGTCCGCATTTCTTCGTCCACGCAAATCTTCGTCCCCGCAAATCTTCGTCCGCAAATCTTCGTCCGCAAATCTTCGTCCGCAAATCTTCGTCCGCAAATTGTCGTCCGCATTTTTCGTCCACGCATTTCTTCGTCCAACCAAATCTTCGTCCGCAAATCTTCGTCCGCAAACCTTTGTCTGCGCTATCTTCGTCTCCGCAAACATTCGTCCACAAATGTGGTTCAATAAAACCATGAAGAAATATCAGTCAAGTGAATGACGAATTTAATGCAAGGAATGGATGATCGAAACTTTTGAAGACAGGTAGATGAGGTCAGTCAGGTGAAGCTATTGTATTTGGAGCCGACAATTGTAACATTCCATATCATTTGTGTCCCGGACATTCTTTTTTTTTTGGCGGTCGTTGAATGACAATATAATCTCTTGTACCCTCGCCGGCATAGGCGGCTGAACGGGGAGGGCACCGGGGCACCGTTCCCCTCTTTAATTTTGGCCTTTTAACAGTAGCCCTATGGGCGTTGCATGGAAAGCATATTGGACCAAAAAACGGCAGTGCCGTGCCCCCCCCCCCTTAATTGAAGATGTTCCGCCGCTAATGCCCGCCGGACCTATTTGTTTTCTACGGTACACGCCGGCCGAGGGGGCGGGTACGACCCCCCCCCCCATCACCGTTTCGCCACTGGTGGAGCTAGCGCGTCGCGGAAAAAAAACGAGCGTGTGCGCCTTTACGAGCCGCAGAGATTAATACCCGATTTTAAGGCCTTCTAGGTCAGGGGTCGGCATACGGCCCGCGGGCCGGATCCGGCCAGGTGGGTGACGGTTGGATCCGGCCCGCGACCATCTGACGTCCGGCCCGCGGCTGGTATCAGCGACTTACATCGTGTTCCGGCCCGCCCCCCCCCCCCCCCCACACACACACACCGCCTGGAAGGTTAAGCGAGTAGACCACGTGAAGCCGCCAAGTGCACGCAGCTGCAGCAGTCGTTGATGCTGCGCGCAAAAGCTGCTGACCAAATCTTACCGTTGCAAGTTTTGCCTAGAAGTAGTCAGTAGAATTAGACAAAAACACCCACAAATGGTGTTTATAAACTCATGAAGTGTGCGAAGGAAGAACTGTTGTGCCAAAGCACATGTGAGTCACTTTTATATCGGAGTCGATTTATGAAGGAACCGCGGGCCGGAACACGATGGTTTTATTGGTCATGGTTTTATTGAACCACATTTGTGGACGAATGTTTGCGGAGACGAAGATAGCGCAGACAAAGGTTTGCGGACGAAGATTTGCGGACGAAGGTTTGGTTGGACGAAGAAATGCGTGGACGAAAAATGCGGACGACAATTTGCGGACGAAGATTTGCGGACGAAGATTTGCGGACGAAGATTTGCGGACGAAGATTTGCGGGGACGAAGATTTGCGTGGACGAAGAAATGCGGACGAAGATTTGCGTAGACGAAGAAATGCGTGGACGAAAAAATGCGGACGAAGATTTGCGGACGAAGATTTGCGGGGACGAAGATTTGCGGACGAAGATTTGCGCAGACGAAGATTTGCGTGGACGAAGAAATGCGGACGAAGATTTGCGTAGACGAAGAAATGCGTGGACGAAAAAATGCTTGACGAAGAAATGCGCCGACGAAGAAATGCGGATACGAAGAAATGCGCTACGAATTTTTGCACCTACGAAGAAATGCGAGACGAAGTAATGCGACACGAATAAATGCGCCGACGAAGATTTGCGGACGAAGAAATGCGGACGAAGAATTGCGCGACGAAGAAATGCCATACGAAGATTTGTCCTGGAATCGACCAGGGTATATTGAGTGAAAGTACTGACTGCTGCTGGCTGCAGAAGAAACACTCAAACACTGGATGTCAATGTTGACATGGATCAAGACATGGATATTGTAGGTACCTACCTCCCATTTCAATTTAAAGTTATTATAGTTTGTCAGACGCAGTTTTGATAACGGCATGCAAGGTGCCTACATATCAATAGGTATACCTATGTTAAGATATAGGCTGGATAATTTTTCAAGGATAAATGCTTCATCCGACGCTAATAGTCAAGTCTGACTGATGCGTTGTTAAACAACCAATAAATGTTTCATTTTACCAATATGCTCCCTGTAATCTCCAAGTCCACATCCTGGTGAATGGCTACAGAACATAACTTTTTTGAAAACAATATCATTGGTTTGTTACTCTATCTTAGAGATTTTGTACATGTGATTGACATGCATCTTATCATTATGCTTACCTATATATAAGCTGAGCTTATATCTTTTTGAAGAAAGACACCATTGACACCAAAGTTGAGTTGTCACCATCAGTTTGTTTTGTTTCACAGAGCATCATCATCCCAGTCCACAATGCCGAGCGGTGGCTAGCTGCCTGCCTGCAGTCAGTAGCGGACCAGGACCAGGACCCCAGGCTCCGGGTGGAGGTGTCTGTATATCTAGACGGCAGCACTGACCAGTCAGCTGCCATTTTGGAACATTTCAGCTGCCAGCTGCGGCAGAAAGGATACACAGTGGTTGTGTCCTCCGGTTCTCCTGCCCATGGAGGTGGGTGCGTTTCAGGACGTTACTACGGGCTCTCCTTGGTCCCTACTAGTAGTTAAACCTCATTTTCTTGCCATCAGGTGACAGGTCTCTATGGGGCCAATATGTCATAATATGTTTCTTTGGTAAAGATACAAACCCTAATGCTCAAAGGCATTTGGAAAACAGGATAATTGCTTGAGCTGATGCGATACATATGCCATGCATATTGCATTACAGCGACAAACTAAATAGCTACCTAATAAATGTAAGACAAAGCTTTGTGCCTGATACAAACGTGGTACACCTCAACTTGTTTTGCATCCTTTCAGCGGTGGACAATTCGAATTGGGCCGAGTTGGGGGTAGCACCAGCTTTTCCAATTCCATGCCGGCTTGGCTTTGGAGCCGCAACAAACGGAGGAGGTCAAGGTCACCGCTAGAGCGGCGGCGGATTTGCTGCGCCCGTGCAACCCCAACTCGGCAAAAGTATCCAACCCTACATCCTGTGGCCCCTATCGTACATTATACGCCTAATGAGCACCTTGCTGCCCTCAATGCCCCTTTAACGTAACGTTATTCATTATTTCGCGCGATGTACTGTGCACTGGCGGATCCAGTCAAGAGTTTTGGGAGGTGTAAACCATAACAACATAGCGGTTCTTTCCATGCACTGTATATAGGCGTAATGTTAAAATTTTGCCGTTTGGGAGGGGCAATATTTGCCCTCCCGATCCGCCACTGATACGGTGGATCGGAATCCGGAAGATGTCCGTTGACGACCCGTGTTCCTAGATGCTTCCGGGAGTAACTGGAGTTTCCATTTTCGTTCTCAGTCGGATACGCCAAGAATCGAGCTGTAGCTCAGAGCTCGGGACGTTTTCTTTGTTTTCTGGATGCTGTGAGTATGGGTCTTCGCAAGGGATTTGTTAGCAAATATGTTGATGTATTAGGGTTGTCAGCATTAGCGGTGCTTTGAGAAGATCGCCGCAGAATCATCCCATTGATATTTCAGAAAGAGGCGCCATGGAAGATTTCATTGACATTTGACATGTGTCTGTTCTATATCATCATGTCCCTATTGTTTGTGGTCAATCGGCCGCTCATGTGACGCGGTACAATACTCGCGAATGAATGAACGAGATAGAGTAGCAGGCAAACGTTAACCGATGTCAAACTGTCAAATTCCTGTTCAACTACTGCGGAAAAACGTTCGCTGATCGCTCCCTCCGTAATCAATAATTAAACAGTGATGACGTTAGACGTACCCTGCCCCTTTCAACAGGATGATGTGATGAGACCCTGCCGTCTCCGATGCCAACACGAGGAGGCTGCCAAATTTCCGGATGCGGTGAGCATTTCGTAATTCATCCACTCGATTTTAGGAGTCCAACTTCAACATTTGATGTAATAAGCATTCTGTTGTGATTCTGTAATAAGCATCTCTGAACATTTCGACTCGCGCTAGTCTAAATCTGTGCAGTTGCTCGAACGGCGTATTGATAAATGATAAGAGAATATCGTAATCGTCTAGTTTTCATTCCTAGGTAGCGATATCGCTCCGCCCTAGCATATTGTCTTTCGAGAAACGTCCCACCACCGTTCTTCAGTCGTCATATCTTAATTATGTTGCTATAAATGTCATCGTTTTATCGTGGAATTCAACGTCTTCCGTCTCGTTTCACCGAGCATTTTGACCAACTGATATGACCCGTTGGTAGATCGTTGGCGGCCGGTTTGTTCGTGACCCGGCAGACTCCACAGAACGCTACACCCGCTGGGCCAATCAGCTGTCGCCACGTCAGCTGACGCAGCAGGTGGTGACGTCACACGGTCCGACAGTCATCATGCCCACCTGGTTCTGCAGTCGCGCCGTGTTTGATCGGTGAGTGGAGAGTAAATGACGTCGCTGGATTAATCATGGTATTTTATTAATGATTTGATCGATTAAGCGTACTTTAGTTGGACTCCGATGATATCAATTGTCAGTTTGTTCATTAAAAGCCTTCAATCCTTAGCTTTCAACCAGAAAGAGTGAGTGCTTAGATGAGATGCATAGCACTCTGTAGTGGACTTTGATGGCCTGACATTGAAATGGTCACACATAAACTCACTTAAATGGAATTGAAGATGTGATCACATTATCATTCTCGCTGTTCTGCCGAGCTAAGGCAAAAACTGCTATGTCGGGTCATAGGTCATTATTTTAGACCCCAGTCGACCCAAGATAACTTTACTCTGACCTCACATAGTAGTTGCTACCTTTGCACAGCAATGTTTCCCTTACAATGACCACTTGCAATCCTGGCGCCCACTCCCTAGAAAGAAAACAGCAACCCGCCGTTTTATCCTCAGCGTGGACGGGTTTGACGAATCTGGTCGCGGCACTCCGGAGGACCTGATATTCTTCTACCGGCACCTGGACCTGGGCGGTACGGTACGCCGCGTACCCGACGAGGTACTGGTGTACCGGTACCACCCGGACGCGGCCACGTTCACCATACACGAGTGAGTTGAATCTACCGGCTAGGAACATTAGTTAGATATTTTTCAGCGGGACCTATATAGATGGAATGCATCAAGTTGTATGTTTAAACTTCCAAGTTAAGCCAGTTTCATGCGTTTAAGCACATATTTCTATAGAGAAGTCTGTGGTTTAAGCAATCCCTAAATACTTGTGGTCAATATGGGTTTTATTTTTGACAAAGCAGACCTGTCTACATAAATGCTACACATTGTTTTGCCTTTGTACAAAAGTATCTGTTTATATACCTTGCAGTATAGTAGTTCGTTCCTGCTCCATGCAAGACTAGCGCTTGGTTCTTCACTCGTACATATTATGAATAAGCGCAAAATGACCCTGCTGTCGACGAACCCTAAAACTCCAACAAAAAATTTACACATACGACGTAATGGCGCACAATGCACATGTATGACCACGCGACGACGTGACAATTGTGCGGTTCCCCACAGAGACACTATCTGGGCGCTAAGGCTAGAAAGGCTCTGTCGACACTGGTTGGTCGACTGGACAGCCGGTTTTACCATATGGAACGCCGGAAAACAGGGAAGGAAACTGTACCGAAGCCTGCCCGACGAGCTAAGAGACAGGGTGAGTTATTTGGTGCAATGGTGTGATCATTGTTTATCAGCTTTACCGGGGCTCGATTGAAACGACCTTACTGTCGATGACTTTAGCAACATATTTTCGTCGTTTTCACATCCCCATGAGTCTGTGCGAAAACTACAAATTGTGACATCCATAGGTCGAACGCTAACCATGTAGCGTGGTTATTCGTCGCGGTACCCCTAAACGGCTGCTTTTTTGTTTGTTTCAGGTTCTGGCCTTTTGTGATGTGGATGAGCGCAAACTGCGCCAGGGAGTTTATATTTACGAGAACAGCGAGCTCAGGCCCAAACCACGAGTGCCCATTGTGCATTTCAGCAAGGCGCAAAAGCCGTTTGTAATCTGTGTGAAAATGGACCTTACGGGCGGGCAGTTTGAGAAGAACCTGGCGAGTTTGGGTTTGGAGGAGGCAAAAGACTATGTGATGTTCAGTTGAGTGTCTTTGGCGTTTTTTCAGGTAGGGTATGTCTGTACAGACATACCACTAATGTGATATTATGGTGCATTGATCATTGGTATATCGCACTCCACATTCGTCAACATTACTGACGTCATGCTTTGGAAACAGCTGATACATGCGTTTCCAAAGATTATCATTGCAGAATCCACTTGTTCAGCACTTGAATGTAGAACTATGTCGTTACTTGCGCTGTTTTTTTTTGTGTGTGTCAGGAGTCCAGCTGATATTTTGCGCTTGGTGGTTATGCAAAATGAGGATAAACATAAGTGGTTTTCGTATTTCCCCAAGCTACTGTTAAGTATTTGACGACATCGTTTTAACCCGGCGGCCGCTGGGCCTCCGCGCCACCCGCCGGCCGCTGGGGGGGGGGGCATATAGTTGCCCCCCCTTTACTTCTGCGACGATATCGTCGCAACGCGAAGAGATAGAGAAGCGAAACTTTGCACACATCTTCCTGAATACCTAGCCGAGGTTGTGTCCAAATTTGGTGTCGATCCCATTTGAAATGACGTCACAGTGACGTCATAAGTGAAATTATAGATTTGCGACTCTCATATTCCTCACGATACATCAGATATATGGGACCGAATATAAAGGGTCGATTATTGGTCAGAAATTAGATGGAAGTGTAGTTAGATGTTTTAGGATGACAGCAGGTGCTGTCTAGTTCATTTACAGTTGAGTTTCATGCTCAGCGTCATCAGAAACGATCCATATCGGAAAACGACAAAACTTTATGACGTCACTGTGACGTCATCTTAGGTACTACAACCACCAAACTTTCCTCAAACATTGCCTAGGTATTCATTTGAAGCTATGCCAAGTTTCACGTTGGTAGCTCATCAGGTTTCGGAGATATTTCACAAAACGTAAAGGGGGGGCAACTTTATGCCCCCCCCCCCGCGGCTCGTGGGTTAAAGGAAATAGTTCACTTTCACGAAATTATTTTTTTTGCAACGGATTTATGATTTTTTATGTTCAAAATGATCAGCAAAGAAAATAAAACCTTTTTATAACAAAAGATTATTTTCTATATTTTGATATAGGAAGAACTTTTCAGTTTCTGTAAGGCACACGCGATCCAGTATGAAAAGAGCATGGGTCCCGAAAATTCTTCAGAAACTAGAAATTATCGCAGCCACCGGCATTTGGGCGATCTGCTCGATCTGATAATGTTCCCCTGAATGTCCTAATTGATCAGTACGAGAATTTCTCTAGAGTTCTCGTAGATAATTTCTCTAGTTTCTGAATAATTTTCGGGACCCATGCTCTTTTCATACTGGATGGAAATATATGCAAGGCACACATCCTCAACGCAAGACACCTTTTTCGGGACGAGAAATAGAATATCTTTGCCTAGGGTGATCGTTGGGCTGTAAAAGCTCCTGATTTATGCTCGTCTCAGCCCAAGCTACGGAACTGCTATTCCAGTTCAAAACCCATGTTAAAAAGTGAACTATTTCCTTTAAGTACCGGCATCACCATTTTTTCGATTGACTTATTCCAATACAATACTCTTTGCTATCCCCATGTGGCTGACCTCATTGTTTTGATCGTTTTTCTACCGGTTTACGCAATTACAAATATCCAGAGTTAGACCCGAGACCCAAAACCGAACACGTGGTCGTCTTTGACAACAGAGACGGCGATGGTCGTCTCTGCTACGGAGGTTAGTGAATAGTGTGCGATCCGTGTGTGTTTGTTAGGAAGCTTACTATCACAGTCCTATGGGCAACCAAGAATACACCCATGATTCCCTTCGTTCTCGCATACCCCCATTGTCCAGAGTCCAGAAAGATAGTTAGCGACCCAGGGGATATTGATAAGATCGCTGTTCGCTGCTGTTTAATGCGCATTTTGAAATGCTTTCTATTGCAGTGTTTTAGGGTAACGCAAAGCAATGTCGCGCCATGGGTAACAAGCGCTATAAGTAAAAATGAAAGCGTCTTTTGAAAGTGTTTTGTTTAGTTTTACCCTTAATTCTCGTCAGTTTTGTTAAAGAATATATTTTTTCAATATGACTTTCGTTTTCAAAGGATAAGTTAAAAATAACTTCAAGCAACTCGTTCTAGTTTTGTTTCTTCCCGCTAGTCTCGCAAAACAAACGTCCTTCTTCGGCGACAAAAATGGCGCGTTATTTTGCGTAGCGTGACTCGTGCTTGTGTGCAAGTGATAAAAACAGTGAAATAATTGAGGGTGCGATTCTACTTATTTGTGTCCGTTACCCATCATCTTTTGGTGCATTTCTTGTTATTTTTATTTGACCGTCTCAATCGCTGCTCGTTTTTGTCTCATCGGTTTCATTTATTGTTTTGGCTGCCGCAAAATACCCGTCAGCATTAGTGCGCTCTTTTTGCCGTTGTTTTCCTGCGTGCTCTTCACTGACGTCATGCAACGTGTATGTTGACAATGAGGTAGAATTTCCATGATGAAAATGATTTTACTGCTATAGGACGTTTGAAGCTGCAACAAGATCCTGCAAAACTGTCCAAAGTAAATGACAAATACATAAATTTTTCCATGGAACAAGCATGCTGATGTTACTTTAGAGGTTTTGACTTTTGTATGAATAAAATCAAATGTTTTCATGCTGCATCCTGTAAGTTCAATGACTTTAGTTTGAAGCATATTTGCCTTTCACACTACCGACCATAAGTACCGACGCCTTGGTACCTACCGAACAAGAAAGGACGCGACTACTAGTCAAGAGAATGACTAAAGTGAAGTTGGACGCTTGGGTCGCAAGGCTACGCATCCTATTCCAACAATAACAACAACAGCCTTTCACACTATAAACAGTGAAATTGCGGGCACCCTAGGCTGAAAATTGAATAGAAGCCTCACTGCTGTCAAACCATATATGAACCTAAAAAATTCATTTGATCATTGATGCTAAAAAATAAGGTACACTACAAGCAGAAACAACAAAACCTAGTCTAACTTGACCTTACCTTACCATACCAAGCATAACATAACCTTGCTTGCTCAGGCAAGGCTTGCTTGACTCAACTCAATGTGTGGCTGGGTGTAATTTATTTAAAAAAAAATGTGTAAAAGTATTAATTGTCTATCTGGGGTCTTACTTTTCAACCTTAGAATCATGTGTTTTTCATGTTCTTGTTGTGTGAATCCATAGCTTTCTAAAGGGTGCAAAAAGAGGAAATCACCTGGTCATAGAGACAAGCACTTGATCTATGTTTGCTGTTCTAAGCTTCCACTGGAAGGCAAATCTTGGCTA